CCCTACTGGCTTCGGTTACCCAGATACCTGCAGGAGAGTCAAGGATCAACCAAAGAGCACAGACTTAAACCAAGCCAGACAGGACAAGTGGAAAGAGTTCACATTCGACCTGATGAGGAAAGAGACAAGTCCCCCGAAGAAGAACAAAATAAGCAAGACACGGACACACAACAAGGTAGAGACTTGCAAGTGCCACAGCTTCACCAAGAGGAGCACACCCAAGGGCCTGGATCTGAACTGGACGCCGAGAGAGCACCAAGCCCTGAGTCAGACCAGGACCATCCCTCAGAGCCACCACCCCGCCTGAGGCAGTCCACCAGGCAGAGGCGACCCAACACGGTCTTCACCTACCCATCTCTGGGTCAGCCAGCCTACCAGCATCATCCGTCAGTAAACGCTGCCAGTGTACCGGCACTATATCCTTTTTTGCATTACCCTCCCCCTTATTCACAAACCCTTTATCCCCCCCTTCTCACCTCTAGTCCTTACCTACCGGGATCATGGGCTGTTGGTAACTACTGAATGGATCAGAGACTTAAAAAAAAAAAAAGAAGACACTTCACATCTCAGAGACAGTTGTAAAGAGACTTTATTGATGTTAAAGGGATTCAGAAATACTTGAGTTAAGTGTCGGGAGCCACTTCTATTGTTGGGGAGCGTGTGGTGCACCCAAATATGTGCAACCACATTTGGAATTATTACTTTGTGGATCAAAAGGAAAATAAAATGTAATTTTTATCCTATATATGTTTAGTATGAAAAGAAACATACGGCAGTAGTCGATTCCAACATTATCTTACATTTAGGAGATGTTTTCCTGGGTGAATATTGGTGGGTAAAGGAGAGAAAAGGGTAGGCGGAACCTTTGGCGCTACGGTCGTTCATTCCGGTTGCTAATTGGGGAGGCACCCCGGTGTTCCCCTTATATCTAACCTGGATGAAGACTTGAGTGTTCCTGTGTTCATTGCTCTAAGACTCAACCTTTATTTTACAGGTCAGTACATGGTTAAAACTGCCATACATGAGAGCTTTAAGCTTCGTATTCTTTCTGTAAGTGACAGGTAATAATTTTATGACGATGGGCGTAACTTTGAATTAGTTTTGTGGGTGTTTGTTTGTCCACCGTCGTTGGGCGGCGGGAAAGCCGAGCCGTGTTGCGCCGGAAGTCTCGCGAGACTTAGCATTGTTCTCGCGAGAGTTCGCCCGTTCGTTTGAGATGTATTCTCTTTGATAGTAAAATCAGATAGTTTAGGGTTTTTTTTTACAATCTACAGATCGCTCCAAATTATTTGAGAAGGCTCTTGATGGAACTCAAATGTGTTTAAAGAATCCAGAATATTTGTTCAGGTTTGAAAGTGATTACCATGTTGTATGAATGTTGGTTTATTGCATGGAAATATGGTTAGAAGTTGTCATGTTAAAGTGATTAGCATATTTTATAAAGTACATTGTCCACATCTAATTGAGCTTAGTGAGCTTAAAATTATAAATGCTTTATCACATATATGCTCGGGTGCCGTGATGTAAAGGTGATTTGCATATATTCTAAAGAGCAGTGTTTATACCTGAATAAGTTTATTGAATATAAGATTGTAAATCGCAAATCCCAAATTTAGCGCTGTTCGTTGAAGACCGAAATGATGGTTACAGGCCTTGTTTAGTTAGTCAGTCAACTAAGATTGTAATAAGCAGTAATAACAAATGCTGTAATTGCAGGAGGAGATCCCTGTAAATTGACTTTATCTAGACTTTATTTGTTATTCAAAACAGGACAAAGAAAATGTACTGATTGTAGATTTTGTGTGTTGAATTGACCTAATATATCTAACCTGGATGAAGACTTGAGTGTTCCTGTGTTCATTGCTCTAAGACTCAACCTTTATTTTACAGATTCTCTTTGTTACTGTGGTCATCGTGCTTGAGACCCGTAACAAAAGCAATGTGAATATGAAGGAAGACATGTACTATAAATCATATAATAAATATAAGGAAATTTAAAATTATTTTTTGTCAGTCTGTTAATTTGACTACAATAAAACTATTTGACTAAACGAGTTAAAAATATACTGATTCCCATACAAGTCTTAGCACAGCTGTGCTAATATATAAATAAATGAAGGATAATACATTGCCCTTTTCTTTTATTTCTTAATAAAGAAAATAAAGAAAACCCATTCCACTCTCCAAATTGTCAAACATATAATTAATCATAATGGGAAAAAAACAAAGGACTCACTATACTTCCCTGTGGTGTACCATTTTCAACAAAACCTTTCTGATAAATGTTGTCCTATTCTTACTTGTATAGATCTGTCTCTTAAAAATATTTTATAAAATATTGATCCACCAATTCCCCTTTTTATTTTTTTATTTAATCAGAAAACCTTCTTTCCACATCATATCATAAGCCTTCTGTATATCAAAGAAAACAGCCACCACACTCTCCTTATTAACTTGCCCTTTTCTAATTTCATGTTCTAAACAAAGAAAAGGATCCATAGCGCTTCTACCTTTTCTAAATCCACTTTGAAATTTGGATAAATATCCTCTCTTCTCAACTAAATAGCTCAATCTCTCTTTAATCATTCCATTATTTTACATATATGTGAAGTTAAAGCAATCGGCCAATAACTTGCTGGATTTGAACGCTCTTTACCTGACTTTAAGATTGGAACTATAATTGCCTCAGGTAAAAAACCCACTTCCCATATCTTATTTTAGAAATCCAATAAACATTTTTTAGATGCAAAACTATATTTTTTGAAAATGTGATAAAAAAAAAAAAAATCAGTTACTATAATTTTGTTCACTGCTTGTAACACCACAGGAAAAACACCAGTTTGGCTAAAAAATATTACCTGTAGCAGATGTTTTAAAAAAAAAGGAGAAAATAAAATAAATGTGATGCTAATTTAAACTTTAAAAAGTTTTTAAACCTAAAAACCATGGGTTTAAAAACCAATGGGTGTGAAATACTACCGTATTTACTAGACTATAGAGCGCGCCTCATAAGGCGCGCCCATTACATAAAAAAAAAATGGAAACGTAGATGCTCCCTTAGCTTGTTGGCTCATGTCACTACCCGCTCTGTCCTAGAAGCACGATCCATCTTGTGCATGCACGAACACATATACATCCGGGTGTCCATAGATAATGTAATTATGGTACTAATACTACTACTACTTATTTCTATCCTTAACTCACTAAAGAATGCTAATACACATCTTTAAAAATTTTTTTTTTTTACTTTTGTGAGACAAATTCTATGCTTCTATGCTTTTACATTTTCTTCGTTAAATTGCTTCGCTGACGTCATCAGGTATGCTCAGAGCAGCCCAGCCAAATATGATTAAACCATGTTTATCTGCATTTTAGTTGTTTCCTTCTTTAGATTACCTAATATATAGCATAAGATTAAAACTAAACGAAAACATAAAACTCAAAAAGACTAGATTTATGTTTAAATCCACAGCCGAAAAGTTAGCCACCGGAAGTAGCGTAGGATTCCATTTCGGGTGCAGATCGGTGATCGAGTGATAAAACAGAAAGGATTTTAAGGCATTTATTTTCTCAGGAAATATATTATTAACCTTTAACACATTATATTTTAGTATTATACTATTTTTGAGGAGGAAAACATCATTTAGATATTTTTAACAAAATAAAATTGAGGACAACCCGGATGTATGTCTGGATGCGCATGCGCAGAACGGATCGTGCTTCTGGGACGGATCGGGTAGCGACAGCTCGTAACAGTAAGAGCTTCTCCTGAAAGACAGGGCTTTGTCAGCTCTTTATATTTTAGTGCTGCAGGAGTTGAGCCCAGTCTCTTCATTGGTTCGGGAGCTTTGATGCGGAAAATAAATGTCAATATATTTTCAATGAATGTGGGACATTTGTTCTTCGTCATGCCTGCTGCTAACATGTTCTTGTGCTAAATGAAAATTATCCCCTTATTCTTTAATTTCCAACTTTGACTTCCCCCTCTGGCGGTTAGGAAAAAATCCACAGAAAAGCTACACCTTTCTATAAGCTGCATGGTTCAAAGTGTGGGAAAAAAGTAGTGGCTTATAGTACAGAAAATAGGGTATATTTTCTAACCATATTTATCGATAACATACAAAATTATATAATCATATTATCCCTTAACCTCTTACACCCTAAGGGGGTATAAATAAATTTCTGCCTGACAAAAACACACAAAAGTAAATCACTTATAGCCTCACAGCTATTAGATTTAAGAAGAAACTTTTGGTACTTCTGTAAAGGTAAGATGTCATAGAATGGTTTTCTGGTGTCAGCACTATTGTAGCTTTGACCCTGCCTGAAATATTAGGGACAAAATACAAAATATTTTGCATTTTTTGAACCTCGCCAAAATTTTCTTTGAAATAAACATTTCAAAACACTACCAAAATACTATTTATAGCACAAAAAAGTAGTACAGACTTTTAAATCTAAATGTTGTGTAAAAATATACCAAATTTGGACTCAATCAGATGAATCATATTTATTTTAGAATGGTATTAGTGAGAAATTTCATAGGCGGAGAGGCCATTTTGGCACATTTATCCAAAAATGTCACCAAACTGTGCCAAATGTGTTTTTTACATCAATACAGGGGGTTTGTTAAAATTACGAGGTCACGTAGCAGCCGGACCCACCGGTGGGTCCGTAGGGTTCTAGGGGTTAAGACTACCCAATACCTGATGTAAATAATATGTTCAAGTAGCCTGTTAAAATAGATGAAAAAAGCTCTTTTTAACACTGTTATCTTATTCTTTATTTTGTCACAATTGTATGTCAAATATATATACGCCTATATGACATATATTATATGACATATATAATTTCATTTCTTTACAATAGAGAAACAACATAGTAATAACACACTATTTTGGTTTCTAAGTAGAAGCTCTTTTTAAACAGTGATCGCTTTAGTATAACACTTTTTAAATCAAGCTTCCACTCATCACACTTTAGTTTTTCTTTTTGAGTCACATTTATTCACAATGTGTGTTTGTTTGTCTCTTTGTGGTTTCATGTCTTTTGTGTCAAGTTTGTATTTTTTTTTTTTTTCTTTTTATCTGAACAACAATGCGCTATGTTAATCTTCCTTTAGAATTGATTGCCATCTGTTACTGGTCCATGTTGCAACACAGATGGTCCCATAGTCTAACCATCCCAAGCCCCAAGAAAAGGTATCCAGTAATTAGAAATGGTTTCTTTGAAGCTTTACAAAGTTAATCCAATCAGCTTGCAGAGGGCTTGGCATAAGTGTTTCCAGTTCCTCTGCAGCTGAGTCCTTTGGTGGCCAGAAAGCTGTTTGCCCTTCTGTGTGAGGGAGATGTCTGACCTTGGCACTGTCCCTGGACTTCTCTTTGGCCCTCTACTTTCACACTTCTGGTTGCACTCGCAGTGTGCACCGCTCCAGCTAAATATTGGATACCTTTACCCTCTGACTGCTGCACCATCTCAGCCTCAGCCTTGATAGTGTTTGTGCCACCATGGTGGCACTCACTGTGGGGTCCAGACATTTTCTCTTGACTGGAAAAGCTTTTCTGCTTTAAATCTTGCACAATTTCTGTTCCGAATTCAACAGAGAACGATGCCTTTGTAACATTCTTCTCTGATCCCAGCAGAGCACACGTGTTGGCAAAGGGGGTAGTGCTGCAGGCTGAGATCTCCGTCTTCAACAAGAAATTCCCATGCTGAGGGGGAGGATTGCTGGTGGGCTTTGACAGCTCACCTGACAGAGCAGGGCACCACTTTAGGAGCCCTGTTTGGTTCTGGTCATTTGTGCGAGCAGGTTTAGCTTCAGGATCACATGCTTGGAGTGATGGGATGATTGGCACAGACCGAGTATGCATGGAATGTGGCAGGAAAGGTGTCCCCTTGTCCAGGCGGGTGCATGGGACCTCTGTCCATCCTTTTCTGGCAGAAGGGCTGGTAAGAGAGGTCCTGGTAGTGAGCGTGCCCACACTTGTCCTGGCTGAATCACACCTTTGGGCAAAAGGGAGAACAGAAATAAACTGTTAATGCAAATCCAATGCATTTCCAGTGCTTTAAAAAGTAGTGAAATCTCTTGTACTTGAGTCACAAACATTAAAGTAATTTCTTGGGATTTTATATTATACAACACAAAGCAGAGGATAACCGTAAATGGAGAACAATTCAAATAAAATATTTCCCAACACAGTTTTCTGCCTTGTTATTATGTGCTTCTGTTACCACGTTTAGATTTTATCATAAAAAAGCACCATGAAAGTTGAGGTTTGAGAATATAACATGAATAAATGTGAAACAGTTCAAGTTCATCTTTATTTTATCCAAGACGCTTCTTGTGTAGAAGTATTTTTTCTTTAAACATTGTTTCAGAAAGAGCATACAGATATAAAAAGGCATTACTCTTGTTATACATTTCAATCCATTTGCAGAAAAAAAAACATCTTGCACCAACATAACCAATATTAATTAGTTATTGTTCTTTCATAATCTTTGACTAATTATTCATAATCCTCAGCATGAGCAGCCTTGTTTGTTACTGGATAAATGTTTAACTGAGAAATCCATTCTCTGCCTTATCAAAGTTTAACGGCTCCAGCAATGCAGCAGCTGGGTTCCTACCCTGGCTGGTGTATATGCACATAAACATGTTCTACACACAGTAGCCTGCTCTAGTTTAAGTTTAAAAGCCAAGGCTTATAACTCTCAGTCCGACAGTGCTTCAATGACACATTTAAACAAAAAAAATGGGCCTATGTAGGAGCTTGAGATTTCTGGTCAGGTGCATTTGATTTTTTTGTTTCATAGTGATGCATTATGTTGCAGGTTTTCATAGAAATGAAAAGTGGGAAGGGTAATGCTGTGAAGAAACTTATCAAGAGTCAAGTGGGTGATATTCTGTGTATTTGCACACCGGAGTTAATATTGCTTCAGCCTTAGGTGACAGTCAGTGTTATTGTTCGCCCTCTGAGGCTGTTTGTAGCATAACCGAGTTTAAATAATTGAATTACCTTCTGACTCTCTTCTTGGTATAAGAAGGACAAATGCAGGCTGGAGGTAAATCTTTCGGATCAAAACAGATCTAAAAATAACTCCCATGGCGAATTTGACTTCAATTCCGTCCTGCTCTGCAATGGGTAAATGTTTTGACACTAGATAATAAAACCCACTGTGGGGATTTGTTCCCACATAATGGAAAACACAATGTTCTGTTTTTTGTTTGCAATCCTCGCCTATGTTTGGTTTCTTTTTTGGTTGCCTCCATCTTTACTCCTCTCTGCCCTCATCATCTTTGCCCAGTCGTTTTTTTCCCTGTCCTCACTTTCTCCCCCTCGCTTGTTCTCCTTTCCACCTCCCGTTTCTCATTTCCAGAAATGAGAGGGTGTATCCATGGCAACATGGGAGATGAGGGGGCTGAGGAGAAGAGAGCAGGAGGGGCCAATAAGCTTGCAATTGTGTGGCTCGTAACTTGAGAAATAGGTCATTTTTAGCCTCTGAAATCGAAAATAAAGCACATGGTTCAAATCAGATATTTAGATCAAATGTATAACCAACATTAAATCAGATTTCATCTTTACTGTGTTGGCTCAGCTAGGATTTTTAAGAAATAATTTTCTATGCTTATTAGAAAAAAAGTTTGAATAAACAAAGTTTTGTTTTTATCTTTAAACAATTACAAAAAGCCCAGTTTAAAGATGCCATGCCGTTAAAAACGTCCTATAGTTCGTGCACCATATTTGAGTAAAGTAGAAATGGAATTGTCTTTTTTTGTTGATCTCTTTGACATAATGTAAAAATCTGAGGTAATTGGTCAAAGCATAATGAAGGGAGTTATGACTAAAGATCTTGGACAAATAGCATCATAAGTAAAAATAAAACATTGAGGAGAATTTAAAACAATTTCAAGACATCAGCAAAGAAATTGAAGTTTGGGCATATATTTGTGTTACAAATAAGTAAATACATAGAATATGCAGCCTAATTAGATAGGAAGAAAATAAGGCAAGAAATTTATACAAAGAACTGAAATACAAGCCTGCTGACTAAGTAACCGCAGTACTGGCAGAAGGACCAAAGTTCCTTCATAACCAAAGTTGTACGGGTGGGAAAAGCAATTCTATTATTAAATATGTGCAAGAAAGATCTGCATTTTATCAAGTAAAAAAAAAATTTCCTATAAATTCTCTCCTTCATAATTTAGGCCTTTTGCATATAAAATGATCCTAGTAATCTTACAATATCTGAAATGAAACAGGAAATGTTTTAGCAAATGTACTGTTTGTCAGTGAAAATAAAAAAAGGTATATGTGTCTTTTAATACACATACATGTTTATACTGTATGTAAAATCTGATTTCAGCTGCCTCTCTGGAAACAAACTAGGAAGAAGTTCATCAGCATGATGATTATTGAGTAGTTTAATTGTAAAAGTACAAATCCCCCCAAAGAGAAAAAAAAGACTCCTTATTCCTGCTTCCCCCCATTTGAAAAATGTGTGTAAGAGTTAATTGCCCACTGCTAAGAGATCTTTTCCTTTGTGATTTTAGGAAAAAAAAATAAACAGTCGAAATATTCCTCATTAGGTTCTTTATTAGTTTGTTGTTCAGTGGAAGAGTTTGTGTGCATCTCTGAGTGTGTGTTTAGAAGGGGAAATGACTCCAGGAGGATCTCTTCCCAGCACAACCCTCCAAGCAGGCTCCACGGAGCTTTGTTTAAAAATTTAAATTATGGAAATAGGTCACATAAAGAGTTTGGCAGCTTCACACCATATGCTACAAGTTGCTGATACGCTCAGTCAGGACGGCTTGCTAATAGGAACATTGCTGTGCTCTTTTGAGTGCGGGGAATACACAGGGGAGACACCACTGTTTTAATGACAGACGTATCTGTTAACACTGTCATTGCATCTTGCTGCACTTGCTGACAGCAAATTAGCTGTTTTTTGTTGTAGTTCTGTATTTTGAGTTACGCTAACCAGGGTGCTTGTTATATCTGTAAATAACAGCTTATTTATATATATATATATATATGTATGCAATGTTAATTTATAAGAGGAAAAATGCAAAACTACCTGCCTTTGAAAATACCTACCTCATGGACCAGTAGGAGATAAATAGTTTTGCAGGTTTGGGAGCTGCTGTGCAACAATCGCTCTGAACAGCTTTGTTTGCATTAATATAATCCCTTCTCTCCTTGAGGACACTGGGCAAATATTGCCTCTTTGATAACAAATGTGTCTGAGATCTGACTCCTTTGAATGCATGCCAGTTAGGAGGATGATCATATTCTACTTTTGAAACCTGTTTATATCTCCAGATAGCTAACTGCTGTTAGCTGACACTGCCAAAAACTTGCTTTGTTTTTAATCCAACCTGAAATGGATCCAATCTCTGATCAAGGATGTCAAACAAGGTCAACTCGCTGCCCGTCCTTATTATGCTAATACACAAAGGGAGAAATCAATGATATCTGCCAAAACAGTCACATTGCTTGTGCTTTTTAATTGTTTGTCCCTTGTTATATATACTCATATTTCATGTCACATTAACACAAAATCATATTTTGTCATATTGCGTTTTTTTTTTGTGTAACCTGCATTTGCATCCATTGTCCTTCATTTTGATCGTCTTAAAGAAAATGCAATGTGACCTGCTACCTTCAGAAATATCTTTTCCTAAAGAAACAGTATCCAGCCGTGTAAAGCTTAATCTCTGCAGACCTGACAAATCCTGATCAAAAACTCTTTTGATGTGTATTTTTTGGTGTCCAGCTATTCACTTGGAAATCAATGCTATACATATGGCATCTGCACTAAAATAATAATATATATCTTTAAAAAGGTTTTCTGTTGGGTAATGTTAATATTAGCAAAATGCATTTACATGAACAGCAAATTTCCTTATTTTTGCAAAAATATGGAATAAAACTACATATGAAGACAGCTTCTGAAAGTTATAAAACAATATTCCATTCTATGAATGTATCTCAAAGAACTGTTTAATCCAAGTTAATCACCACAAAATACAGAGTTATTTCAAATCTGTGGAGACATAACTTTTCCCACATTAATTAACAGGCCAAATAAGGAGAGCATTGATCAGAGAATCAGCAAAGGCCCCCACAGTAACTCTGTACAAGAATCTGCTTAAACAATATGCTATTAGATGTGTAAACTAGAAATCCAGCTTTAATGTAATACTGACAAAAAGAAAGCCATTATCAAGAAATCATAAATCAATATAATTACAATTTGCCAGTAATTTGATAAGTTAAGCAATATATGCAAGACAAAAACCTCTTGTTACATGAGACCAAGTAGATTTAAACTCATATATGAGTATGTTTATTTACCCTATGTCGTGCCATTTTACCAAATTTTCTTATGCCACTTCACTACAAAATAAATTTAAAAACACTAGTCTAGGACTACCCTTTATGTTAAAAAGAAAGTGTCAGTAGGTCATTTGCTGGATTCATCTGAATCAGAGCTGTAAAACTCATTTTTATATTACATTTTATTTATATTTCATTATTTAATTTACAAAGAGCATGCTACTCTGTTATTATACCTTTAGTCCCATATATTGTGCATTACTAGCCACCTTCGATAATTTAAAGAAATGCGTGCTTCTAGCGCACTTTATGTGCCTTTTTAGGGGGCTTGAAGGACACATAAATTGCCTAGGTATGTTGAATTTAAGTCTATGGGCCTTGAGTTTGACAGATAATAGCGGAGTGGTTGCCTGGTGGTTAAAGCAGAAGGCTTGCATTATGGGTACCCTGTACCTAAGTTGGAACCCCACAGATTTCCACTCTGGGTCCCTATGTAAGACAATTAGCCAGATTGGTCCCAGGATGGTGTAAACTCTTCCTTGCTCCCTCTAGATCAGTGTTTCCCAACCAGGGGTACACCCACCCTTAGTGGTCCAAGAGTGCATTGCAAGGGACACATGAAAATATTTGATTTCATAGGTAGTAAAATAAAATAGGGCTGGGATCTGTCTTTGCTTTGTGAGGACCCCATTTGAATATCTTGAGCTGTGACACACATCAAAACCAAGCAGTGAAACAAAGTGGATGTAGAGAACAGCCTGCTATCAGCTGTTTTTAACACTTAGCTATTGGAGCTCATTACAGCAGCTCAGGTGTCTTGATGAAAACAAAGTAAAACAAAATTTGTCAGTGTGACTATAATTTTTCGTTCAGTATTTTGTTCCAAATTCATCAAGTTTAAATATGATTATAAGGGAGTTAATCAGAAGAGCTCCAGTTTTAGAAATACAAATTTATAATAGGATTTTATTTTGTGCTTATTTCGTTTCCTTACTAACTTCCAGGCACCATATTTATGTTTTTTTTTTCTTTTAATTTGAGATGAAAAGAATAAAATGCCTAGGAAATAAATGCTCAAATTAAGATGGATAGATAGATAGATAGATAGATAGATAGATAGATAGATAGATAGATAGATAGCAAAGATAACACAAAATTAGATTTCATAATAATGAAAAAAAAGAGGCATTAAACTCTCTGACAATGGTTTAATGCTGGGACAAATGTTGATCTGTTTCTCTCTGTTCTGCTTCTCACAGAGATCATTTTCGAAATGTTCTTTATTTCAATTATTGTACGTTCCACTTTTAGACAATCATCAATACTTTGTATTGAGGGGGTACTCATGGTAAGACAAAATGCCAAAAGGGGTACACAAGACAAAAAAGGTTGGGAGACACTGTTCTACAGAATAAAATCTAGAACGTATAGTAAGACACAATAAAAGCTCGGCTAATTGCTTTGCCCGAGGGAGAAACAGGCTGAGCCTTTTAAAGGCAGTGCCTAGTGTATCATCAATAGGAGAGCATTCAGTTAAAATATAAAATAACAGAAAATTTTGTTAAAGACAAAGAAGACTGAGAATGTAGCCAAATGAGCAAAATATAATCATTGCTGTATGTCCTTGTTCAGCCTAAGCCTATAGCCGCAGAACTATCTCTGTAAGTGTTATAATCAAAAAACAAAATATAAACCTAGTTTAAAAAAAAAGACAGAATGTAATCCTCATGGACTGAAACTTGGATCTGATTCCAAAGGAAAGAGGCCTGATAACCACATTTTAGAAACTCCAGCAACCACCAATTAATCTGCAATCTACTGATGATATGAAATAAATGGAACAATCAGATCTCTGATGTAAGGGGACGCTTGATTAATAAGTACCTCAGACAAGGAAGAAGAGGTTTCTTTATTCTGTTCTGGAACTACTCAGGGGGTGGCGAATACAAATGCATGCCACCTTTTCAAATTTGGCCTCCCACTTTACAACTATGCACCACTTTGCATTTACCTATCAGATCAAATCCCAAGTTAATGCATTTAGGCATGTGTTTTCATAGAGACCAAATGGGAGAAAATTTAAGGCGTATGAATCCTTTTAGCCCAGTGACCAAATACAGTATTAGTTGTTCAACGGTCATCCAAATATTACTTTGAGAAACTAAGGAGATAAAGAATTCACACACTAACTAGGAGTCACTAAGCAGTGTCTGAAATGTGACTCTGTGGTTGACTATTTATAATTAGCTTTGTTTGCTATTTTAGGGAGTCAGATAAAACAATTTTGGGCTCATTATAGCCACCCAGTGGCAACTATCAGATGGATTAGGCTTAGGCTAATATCTTCCTCAGCACGATGATGTGGCTGAGGATTTGGGATCAAGCATGTTCTCTAAATGAATAGCTGAACGAGGGCATGGTATATCTCATTTATCTCCTTGGATTCAGCTTTCTGAGAAAAGTCTTTGGAGTTGATCTGGCTTTTACAGTTGCCCTCATTTCTTCCAAAGTCCCCTCTTTGGTGCAATAACTTAACCTCGGTTAGTCCAGAGGTCTGGGCCACTGAACTGATTATGTGGTGCTAGTGAAGAAAATACAAAGAGACTTTCCTCTTTAAGGATAAAAAAAGCATGAGGAGGGAAATACCTTTTAATGGGTTCCATGTCTGTTGACTCATCCTCCTGCAGGTGTCTGTAGACATGCCCTGCCACTCTGGAGCTGTCAATTAAACTTGTCGATATTTTGTGCTTCCCCCTGGAAATGGGCGGAGTCCTGAAGTGGCTGACTTCTCTTCGATGTTGGGCTGGGCTAAGTGAAAGGGAGCTACTCCTGCAAATAGAAGACAATACAGTTTTATTAAATTAATGTTCTTTCCTATCAGCTATAAACTATCATTTGTGATACACACAAGGCCCAAGTGTTGCTTCTAGTCACCCCCAGACTTTTTAAGTAGGAGAAAAAGAAGATATTTGTCAGAGGCAGAATTTATAAAAGGTTCATATACTTTAGGTTAAAGTGCATAAACACACTCACACATCTACTCATGTTACTGTATGTCTGGCTATCATTTGCATTGACTTACATTTATTTTTAAGGCCTAACCCCCACTCTTGCACTAAACATCACTATCACATGCTTAAACAAAAAATAAGTTGACACCTTTGTCCTAAACCTAACCCCTAACCCTGGAAGAGAAACTTTTCACGTGGGGACCAGTGAGGTGCTTCTGTAAGTCCCCAAAGAGTAACATATTCTTATGAAATGGACCCTATACTGTGTCCACAAGATATCAAATACTTAACCTCTCTTTTTTCATATAAGCGCGCACACACACACACACACACACACACCAGCATACTAGAACAATAATTTAACAGATAACTTCCTGCAGCAGTGAACTGTGCGGCAGTGAATGCTATTTTATACCCAAACAACTGGAGCATGTATTGATTAAGCTTGACATTAGTTATCCAGTTCTGTGTTTTTGTTGCTAATGCCAACATTTATTTAGCATCTTAAAATTTCTAAGACAGGCATATAAGATTTCTTCTAAAAATTATTGATTATTTTAGAGTTTTCTTTTCTTTTCTTATTTTTTCCCCAGGATAACATGTAATACCTTCTGGAAAAAAACAAAATTCTTAAGCCCCATTCACACTTACAATTTTACCCAGTAATTTACAGAGTCATGGTTATGTGTGAATAAAGTCAGAACTCCTTATTTATTATTGTATTACTATTACTCTATTATAAATAATGTACAAAAAATATTTAACAATGTTTGTAAAAGTTTCTTGTGTTATGTTTAACACTTTTCTAATATAGGGCTGTTTTATAATAAATACAGTAGTGTAACTAAAGAAATGTTCTTTGACAAAATTATTTTTCATTTTCGTTAAATATAATTCATGATTAATGAATTTTATTGATGTCAGTTTGTTTTGTTTTTATCTCATCTTTAATATTCTTATATAATATAACTGCATATACTAGCTGCTCTCAATAATGGACAATCTCTGACACTCTTGAGTAAAATCCTTAGAGGAAACTAAATAGTGAAACTTTACTGTTTGACTAACAGTCCTACTTTCATTCACTTGGCCTCAAGCGCAGCTAAATAGCATAACAGGAATATGCCAATAATACATTTAAAGGTATCGGTAAAGCTTCTCTTTTAGTGAGCTTTATATTGCATGTGCTTTGCTATGAGCTGGAGGTTAGGGGAATCCAGATCTCCCAGAGCTGTCAAGTGATGGAAGCTGCTTCTTTTTTTCTAAACAAGTCGTTTTTGCATTTTTGTGGAAGCACAGTAGGTGGCCTGGTTCAGAGTAGATCTCCTTGTCACTGTAGCAGTGAAGAAACAGCATCAGTTGTGAATTTAATAAGCTTTCTTGGCTTTTACAATTTGTATCCCAACTTAATGTCAGTAGGTGCCATAGGAATATAGTTTATACCATTACTATTACACATTCTGCTTTTTTAATTAAATAACTGGTTGAGAACTAGCAAAGATGTGAGGTATGTATAAAGGAAACCTTTTGAAGTTTGTTTTTAAATCAAAATTTGAAGTTTTTATACCTTTTTCTTACCTTTTAAATCGACAACTATAGAATGCAATAGAAATTAACTTAAGTGATATGAGGTAATCAAAAACAGTGTATACATCTTTGTTGCTTTAGGTTTTTCTCTTTTTGCATACCTTCAGTCTTTGCTATTTCTGTCGGCTCGAACCAAAGTGAACCGACATAATGTATCGAAACATGTTCAAATAAAATAAGAAAAAGTCTGGTTGCTTTCCCATTCCCATCTTTGCAAAACAGCTCAATCCCAGGAGGATTGGACAGAGAATGTCTATGAACATTTAGTTATAATCACATGGGGGTAGGGGATAAGAGCCGAGTATGGTCTTTGCTGTGATTGAAAGCAGTGCACTGGCACATACAGTGAGACAAACATGGTCATCAGAGTAATTTCAACAATAAAAGTTTGCAATGGAGAGGTCAAATGAGGAGGAACTGTGTGCACCAGAGACTAAATAAACTGAAGCAGCTGCATCAGAAATTTTTTACGGCTACTTCCTCTCTCATAGGTTTTTTTTTTTTCCAATAGGTCTCGCGACTAAAACCCACAGACCTAATGTCAAACCATTTTAGCAGACTGGAAACGCGATGCAGACTCGTTTTTATTAAACTTAAAAGGCATTTGATATTTTAGAGACTTTTATAACAAGAAAAAATATAAATTATATTTTAATATCCATTACAAGAAATTAATACATTTTCAGGCCATCAGCGAACCACTGAGTGTAGGAGAAGCAATTCAGCAGAGAGCATCTGTCCAGGGTAGATCTTCCTTGGTTAGGTCACATTCCACATCCAATAGAAACAGAAATAGGCCCTACAAACAATCCAGCATCTTCCAGCAGGGTTTAAGACACAGGCAGGAAAGGAATACATTGAACTCTATAACCAAGTGACTGCTATAGTGTACAGAAACATTTGTGCAGAATACAAACTGGAGACCCCCCACGTCAAAATGGGAGACACATCCATAGGTGGAAGAGATTGGCAAAGCTAAGATCCCGTGGGACTTCCAGATACAGAAAGACAAAATGGTTGTGACCAACCAACCGGACATTGTCATCATTGGGCAGCGATGGTAGTGATGGATGTTGCCATCGAAACAATGGAAACACCAGGAAAAGAGGACATGACAAACTGGAGAAATATGGGCCATATGAAAAAAGTCACTGAATGTTTATTGTGGCATTTGTATTCAAATATAACAAAGCAAATACTTTGCTGAGAGGTTAGAATAATTAGATTAACTTTAAACTTTCCATTACAAGCCAGTGCACATTTGTCTGCACACCTTTTCTTAAGGAAAACTACACGTTAGAATCGTTTTTTGATTATTTGCATCAACTGCCTGAGCTGACGAACCTTATTTAGACCAGTCTTGAACTGTGATAAACCTAAAATAGCAAAAGGGCAACAAATGGCCTCCCTGGATCCCACTTTGGACACTCCTGCTCTAACCAGTCTTCTTACAGTCTTCTCTCATTTATCTCTCCATTAACTATGGCCATCTACCTGAATCCTGCTAAATAAAGCCTAACTACAGTGTGATGTATCTAGGACAACGGTTGGGATGTTTGTCCGCGGTAATGAGCAGAGGAAGTACATTTTCACACACAGAGTTACATTCTACACTTTGGTCTCCTCTGTGCAGAGCAATTTTTTCCAGAGATTTTGCCATCTCCCTGGGCCCATTTTCACAAAAGCTGAACTCGGAAATCTGAGGATAAAGGATAAAACCAGACTCAACCTAGTGTGGCATCATCCATTAGAAAAAAGGCCAAGCCAGGCTCCACAGAAGCAGCTACCAGGTGTAAGGCATCAAGCTAAATACAGGTCTGTCGTTTTTTTCAAGAGACAATGAGGTCAATCATAAATGAATTGATTCAGTAAAAATCAAAAGTGGATCAACTTAATGCCTTAACAGCCTAAACTACACATTCCCTACCCACTTCTCTTAACAAAAATTGTCTTAACTTAAAGAGTTACTTGTGATTTTTCTTAAATGAACAACTGTGAACCTACAAATAAACAATGGAAGCCTATGTGGTAACATGTTCAGATCTTATAAAGATTTATAATGCATTTCTGTCTTAGCATTCACACTCTCCCCCTGGTGCAGTGGTCTAAAAATTTGCTTAAAATGAGGAACGCTCAGGATGGAATCAAGTACTTCACGAGAGTCATCTAGCATGAAAAATTCCATAAAAAAAGCTAATAAAGAGTTTTCCCTTCTTTTTGTTATAACATTCTGTTATTTCCAGATTGCACTCCAGCAGAAACTCTGGACGTTAGCTTTAACAAAGGGAAACCTATTTTAGAGGGCATCCATGGAGAAACAGGTTTGGAAGCAATAAATTGTGTTCAGATAATGTAACTCTGTCAACGTAGAGTGGAGGTTGTTTGGGAACCCAAATGCAGAGATAAGGAAACAAAGATGAGCTTTTGCTAATTTAATGGAAAACAGAAGCAAAATCCAAGAATAGAATGGGAAAAAAACCAGGAGGCATCAGGGGGAAATACAAATGAGAAGCCAAGTACCAACGAGAAACCAGCAAACAGTAACTGCAGAGGAGGTTTACATATGGGGGACAGAACACAAAATGGGCTAATCAGCTGATGTGGAGTAGGGGTGGATAAAAGTAACCAGAAGGGAGCTAGGGAAAAGGAGACTGGCACAAGGGGGCAACAGAGAGTAACTCAAAAAATGCAACATACCGTAAATTCTCTAATATAGGCCCGGGCCTTTATTTCACTCAAGTGCATCGCGGTCCAGGCCTTTATTGGATAGAGGCCAGTATTAGAGACAGGCCTCTATTGCTATTTGAGCAAAACAGACTACCAGTGGAATGAATAAAAATGAGATTTTGTGTCTATTTGAACCTATAAAACACTAGGTTCATTTATTGAAAAAGTACAGTTACCATGTCTCGCTTGGTTTGAAGTAAAAAAAAATAAAAAAATCCTCCAATTCTGTTTAATTCTCCTCCTCAGTTTCCTCTTCATCTCTCCCTTTATTCTCCTCATCACTCGCGCTGCTCCTCATGTTCTGCTGCGTGTCTGTTCTCTTCCTCGCGCAGACGGGCAGCACTCAGGGCCTGTCGTTCAGCTGCGCAGGGCTGTGGTACTTGTATGTTACTACCACAAGTATAATGTTGAGGTATGCCCAGAAAAAACGTTTATAGCCCCGGCCTGTATTAGAGACCGGCCATTATTTACCTCCTCTGACAGCGAGACCGGCCATTATTAGAG